AATTGTTTGCTCTTAACTTTAACGCCAGTAGCTCGCAAAGTAGAATTTTTGCTCACAAGACTCCACAGCTTAGAGGGAACATTGGTCGTGGGGGCCGCTCCGTGGCTTGCAGCGGTGGTGGACCTGCGTGAGCATGGAGCGCTGGACCTCTTCTCTTGGTCCTAAGGTGGATGGGAAGAGGTCTGGGCGGTCTTGTCTTGGTCCCCCTCCACCCCAGCAGTGGTCCTGCTACATCCCCCTGGTTTGTGCTCGTTTAATAACTCTGCACTGGGTGCTCACGTTTGTGTCTCTGGCTTCTTTCACACACACACACACACTCTAAATAATGCACTTTCAATCCACTTTTCAATGCACTTTGTAATTGGATCTTGTGTGAAATGACAAAATCCACTTGCAAATGGTCACTGAAGGGGACTGAAACTGCATTGTTCAGCATGCATGAAAGCACCCTCGGGCTGCGGTCACACAAGCTAAATATCCCATTTTCAATCCGCTTTCAGGGCACTTTCCAACTGGGTTTTAGTAAGAGTGAACTGGCAAAATCCAGTTGGAAAGTGCACTGATGGTGGATTATTTAGTGTGTGTGTGTGTGTCCGCAGCCTTGGATGGTAAAAAAGAGCAAGAATCCAGGAGCACTTGAAAGACAGGGTAGGAGCATGACCACGGAAACGTCTTCGGACAGCGCTGGCTCTTCGGCTTTGAAACGGAGATAAGCACTGCAACCCTAGAGTCGGACTCGACTGGCTTTCGAGGAAGGGAACCTTTACCTTTACTTTAGGAGCTTTCTTGAGTTGTGAGTAGCTAAAGAAGGGAGTGGTGACTCACAAAAGTGCCCACCCTGCCACAAATATTGTTAGTCTTTCAGGTGCTCCTGGACTCTTGCTCTTTTCTACTTCTACAGACAGACTAAAGACTAACACGGCTACCCATCTTGATCTAGCGCTCAAGCCGTAGAAACAAGAAAGAGGTAGCACCTTAGAGACTAATGAAATTTGTGGCACGGTAGGAGTTTTCATGAGTTGTGAGTATCTGAAGAAGTGAGCAGTGCCTCAAAGCTCCGACCTTAGAGCAGATATTGTTAGTCTTTCCTGTGCTGCTGGACACTTGCTGTGTTCTACTGCTACAGGCAAACTAGCACAGATAACCATCTTGATCTGTCTTGGATGGTGTGAGGGACGTCTCTGTGTTTAGGTGCGTACAAGATGCTGAGTGCTGTTGAGCAACTGGAATTATCCTTGCTGGTTAGTTTAGGCATGTCTTTAGTATTAGGATGATGCAGGAGGTTTTTAAGCAACTGGATTGGGCTTCCTGATGGGTTTAGGTATGGAGTGTTAGCAGAGAACACATCTGATCAATTGTGCCTGGTTGGCTGGGAGGTAAGAAAAACCTGAGAAACCCTTTCTGGAGTTTTTTTGGGGGGGGCACAATGTTTTGCTTTAGTTCACTTGCAGTTCCTCCAGTATCAAGTGGTATATTAATGGTTGGTAGATTTCCTAGTTAAACTTTTATTACCACACATTGCTTCTTCTCTCCTGTATACTAACATTAGTATTTTTTTTATTTATAGGTTTGCAGACGTTTGGGGATCATAGAAACTGATTACTTTGGACTCCAGTTCACAGGCAGCAAAGGAGAGAACTTATGGTTGAATTTGAGAAACAGAATATCCCAGCAGATGGATGGTCTGCCTCCTTACAGACTGAAATTACGGGTTAAGTTCTTTGTGGAGCCCCATCTTATTTTGCAAGAACAGACAAGGTAAGGGAGAATGAACAGTTTCTAACTGTGTAGCATGCGAATTGTATGTACAATTTTAGTTTGTGGCTCTCAGTGTGTTTGGAGTTGAATATAATGTTCTGGTCGTATTGTAAAGTGGGTTTTATTGTAGAAAATAAAAATTCCTGTAACTTACTGTGTAAAGAAGGGAGTTAGAAAACAAGACTGTAATAGAGTACTGGCTCCCTTGCCCGATGGTAACCTTGTAAGAATGTTACTGCAGGTCATTATATAATGTTCCAAACAGGAAACTGTTCTCCCAGTGTTTCAACTAACTGAACTTCTTTTAATCTGCTCTCATATTACAGTACTGATTCAAGCTACTATAGCCGTCTTTCAAACCACAAAGGGAAAGCAGCTGGTTTTTATCAGCTTTGAGAAATACATTTAATATATTGTTCTGGTTCTTAAACTTTAATTGAACCATTTACCAAAACAGTCTAATTTTTAAAAAATCATGTGCAGAACATAACATTTCTGTGTGGTGGTGACTAGATAGTTGTGATAACATTTTGCACTGGCTGTCAAATGTTTGAAATGTAGTGTGAGTTGATGTAAAGGTATGGTGAGAAAATAGAAACCAACCCTTTTGTACAGAAGTGTTTGTGTCCATATTGTATTTATTTGTGACATATTTGTCTTACATTTCTCCTAAAAAAGACTTAAGGTGGGTAGACTATACAGTGGTTGCAAATCATTGGATAGATTCTGTGGAGGACTAGGGCACTTTCTGTTCTGTAATTAATGTTGTCAGTCAGTACATCAGCCTTGCAGCAGGATTATTTGTGAGGCAGGTTGTTAGCAGTGCTCTGTGAAAGAACGTCTTGAAAACCAACATATGTTGTTTAAACTACTTATGATTGCCCTGTATCTGACATTGTTTAGTTTGAAATGTGGGTATCTGAAGTATAGCATGGATCATTGTGCACAGTTTGAGTCCAGTGGCACTTTTAAGACCAACAAAGTTTAATTCTGGGTATAAACTTTCGTGTCTTAAAGCTGCCACTGGACTCACACTTTGTTCTATTGCTTCAGACCAACATGGCCACCCACCTGGATCTATGATCAGTGTGATTCATGGAAGTAGTACATTCATGAGTTAGATTTTATTTCCTATTCGATTCCTGTTGGGAGTATATTTCCTATTAGATTCCTGTTTGAGATGTGTTTGGGCATGTTTTAAAATAATCATATAGGTCTCCATTCTTTGGTAGATTTTTTTTCACTGTTCAGCCACCGTTATTGTTAAGGGAATTAAAATGTGTATCTGATGAAAGAATATTTATTACGTTAGTTCAGGATTTGGTTCGTAAGAATACAGCATGGGGTAGGACTTGTGTGATGTTAGTTCTGTTAAGTTGCATAATGCTTGGCTTGCGGTAGGCTGAAACTGTTGTTCATTTTGTGTCAGTGAATGATATAATTTTTTTTCTCCTATCTACACTTGCACTGTGATGACTAGGAGGTATGTTCTGTCACATTTTTTGATAAATCAAATCTTCTGGCCTGCTTGGGAAGGCCATGAATGCTAGCTAACTCCAAACAATGAGATGACAAGTACGCAAACACTGTGGAGATAGAGCAAGATAGGTAGCCATCTGTAGCAGTAGAAAAGAGCAAGAGTCCAGGAGCACCTGAAAGACTAACAATATTTGTGGCAGGGTAGGAGCTTTCGTAAGGCTGAAGTGAGCAGTGACTCACAAAAGCTCATATCTTGCCACAAATTTTGTTAGTCTAAGATACTACTGGACTCTTGCTCTTTTCTACTACATACATGTCTGTTTGCCCATGTGTCCTTTCAGGTTTCAGATTTTTAGCGTTCACACGTCCTTTCCTATTTGGTATCTTTGCTGAAGAACAGGGAAAACTTAGAGCAGAACATAATCACCCTTACTGGAAGAAGCAATGCCCTTGCCTGTGATGATTGTTCACGTATGCATCCACTGATCTGAGATTAAATCGTTTTCAGTACTTGCAGTATCAGCAATAGAGAGGCAGTTTATAGAGCTGGTATTGATAAGATGGCTATATTGGTGTGTTGAGGGTTCAAAGAGTGGCTGGGATGTCAGGAGGTTTTTTGCTTTTTAGTATAAAGCGCAGCGTTCAAACATAGACCGTATCACTCCGAATTTATTAGTGTTTGGAAGTGTAATTGACTGCTTTGATTTGTTTTGACCCATTCTTAATGTCATTCAGAAGGCAACATTAAATCACCAACAAAGCTTCATGCTTAATTGGATAGGTATGTGGTTTTTCAGATCAGCTTTCCACAGTGGTGTATCATTGCTATTACATTTGTCGGTTCAACAGTGTTCTTCTACATTGATGCAGGGGGTGGGGAGCTGTGGCATCTATAACTTCACAATCTGTAATGTATTAAAAACATGTTTCAGAGATGTATTCAAAGTTCAGATGTTTCTTCATTTGAAGCACTTTACAAATATTTTGCGAGGCTGAATACTCATGAAAGACAGATGCACAAGTATACACAGGGTTTAATGGAGATGATGATTCTGTGTTTTGCCATTTCAAACCTGATGTCACTGTGTGTTTTACTGGGGCTGGGGGAGTTATCTGACACTCGAATCTAGTCTTTCCTCTAAGAAGTTCAAGGCAGCTTGCATGGCGTTTCCCCGGTATTTAGGATTACTCATGGGATTCAGTCAAAACGTGTAATTCCCGAGATCCAGAAATGCGTTGATGTAAAATTGGGCCTCAGGTTTCATGGGGTGTGGCGGACATTTCTGTGGTGCAGTGAAGTCTGTGGCCGCCTGCTATTCTGGGGAAGCAACAACAATGTAACTATAGGTCATTGACTGAAAGTAACCCTTGGTAATAGCTGCTACCAAATCAGCAACTGCTGTGCTGGAAGAGAGGAGAGCGTACAGAAATTCGACTCCCGATTGGTCTGCAGCCATTGTTTTGGGCAGAGAGTTCTGCTTTTGTGGTTGAGGCTTTTCCTGAAACAAGTTAGCAAGTATAAAAACTTCAGTCTGCTTCTAGATTACTGAGTAACACTGTCAGTTGAATAAACAAAATCCAAACCCTAACCTTAAATATCCTGAACATAGCATTAAGGCTTGTAAAATTAGTGTTGCAGCTGAAATAAAGTGACATTTTTGTATGGTTATATATGTGGCACAGTTTTGCATTAGAAGCATCTGGTGAATATATTGCCTAGAATCCCTAAATCTGAGGCAATAAAACCAGGGTTTTGGCTTGGCTAGTGGACCATTTTGGATATGACATGGATTTGAACAACTTGTTAGCTTTCTTAGACATTTGCATATATGGGATATTTATCAACTGGAAATGGCAGTTTTAATGTATTGACATTAAAGTAGATGTGACATTCACAGCCACGTGCAATAAAATATTGTGGCTGTTAACTGAGGCAAGTATTGAACGCATCTGACTACATGAAGTGGAGTTGAACAGCCAGTAGTAACCTTTCACCTAATTAATCAGTGCAGTAAGCTGGAAGTCTGAAGTCTGGTGTTTTTTGTTTGGTATAGGTAAAGGATTATATACTGCAATTTTATCTACCTGTCAGCTGCTAAGAATCCTGCATTCTGAGTAGTAGAGAAATTGGGGTTACTTCATGTGTTTAGTGCTTTCCTGTATTTATGTAATTTTAATGTAGTGTACTGCTGCAAATAGCAGTGTCTTAGTTAGATCAATGTATCAAAAGAGGTGTGGCTTTGATTGTTGAAGGTGGACAGAGGCTCAACTAAATATTTTTACAGTCCTGGTACTAGCAGAATCTCCTGTAACTCAAAATGGTGGATATATTTTAAGGTAGTTTAAGAGGTTTGGTCTATTTCAAGTTATACTAGTATGTTGAACTTTGTCAATTAGCACAAACAAGAAGCGGGGACCCGTGATATTCGCAGGGGGGAGAAGGAGCTCCACGTGGAGGAGGAAGCAACTGCAGGTGAGCCTTCTCCCCTGCACTGATGGCAAGGCCCGGGCCTGCCAATCCTTCTCCCCCCCCCAGCACCGACGGCGAGACCTGTGCAGCTCCCAGCCACCGGGCCCACCAATCCTCTCCTGCCCACCCCCTGGTCTGGTAGCGAGCCACGTGAGCCTGCTGAGCCGTCTCCCGCTCCCCACAGGCACCGACGGCGAGGCCTGAGCAGCTCCCACCTGCCGGGCCCGCCGAGCCTTCTCCTGCCCCCCCTCCCGGCACCGGTGGCGAGGCCCGAGCAGCTCCCAGCCACTGAGCCTGCCAATCCTTCCCTCCTGCCCACCACCCCCCCGGACTGGCAGCGAGCCGTGTGGGCCTGCCAAGCTTTCTCCCACTCCCCCCCCAAGCACTGGCGGCGAGGCCAGAATGGCTCCCAGCTGCTGGGCCCACCAAGCCTCCCCCCCAACGGCCAGAGCGTTCTCTGCACATGTGCAGGGAACACTTTTACTTTTGGGGGGATTTAAATATATCCCATGTATCTTTTTTCAACTTTTTAGATTTTTCTGCACACCTGGGGACTGTTCCCAGTGTGCAGGGAAATCTCTTTGCCCCAAAGTGCCCCCCTCTGTGTGGATTTAGATATCCTCACAGAGGGGGCAACTTGGCTATTAGATATATAGATGTGCCATGAGCTTTGGCTGTGGGAAAACGTGCATTGCTATCAAGTGTATTATACCTCCTAGAGTTCAAATATATAGAAAACTGTAGATAATACACTGTAGATTGAGGTGGGGGGATCGATTGCCCATTCTTGCTGCTATCTGCCCATCCCACATAACATATTGATCTAGAGGGACCCTGAATTTTTCCAGAGGGATCAGGGGGCTCCTGGTGAAAGATGGTAAGACTCATGTACCGTGTAACAATATACTCTTAAATGTCCATATATTCTTATTATTCACTTTTATTTTAAAGAAGTTGTTGAAATATTTCATAGCATTGTCCTTGATCTGCATGAAGAGGCACAAGTCCAAATAGTAAATGAAAACAGTATCTTATTTTAATTTCTTGGTGTTCAAACCAGCTCTTCAGTTTCAGCTAGTTGCCTTTTAGGACTTTGTACTGGACCATTACAGGTCTGCCAGTGATTCTAAGATTAGTTCCAAGAACTCATGGTGTTTTGCATGCAGCACTTTATATCAAAGTCTCTGTGTTAAACTTTGCTGGGAAATGGGTGCAAGCATAATGGTAAGGAACTCTGAGTTCTTTTCAGGCTGCTAGTGTATAGCCTTGACATTTCTGAGGCCCTTTCTTCTAAGGCTCACCAATTCTGAGATGTATTTATCAGATATATACCTGTGAATGTAACCTGTATTGCTCAGAATATGTACGTTTTTTAAAGTCTCACCTTTTGTATCACCCATTTATGATGCGCACAAACATGAACAGGCTTTTAGCATAGTATGTCAGAACACTCTTTGTTCCCTCCCAGATGTTACGCTTATGCTAAATTTCCTTCTGTACCTTGTATATCTACAGCAGTGTTGCTGTGAATGATTGTGGTTCAGGTGTTGTTGGCTAACTGCGCTCTAATGTTTTAGTTGTAAAATTAATTTAACCAAAGGTGCAAAGTGAAGAGCGGACAAGTAAAATCTTGGTCTGTTATGATCTAAATCTTCCTTTGGTTTCATACCTTTCTCTAGGCGTTGATTTAAAGGGGAGGGGACCTGTATCAGCTGATTATGGGGTTGACTGTTCCTTTCCATCTGTCGCCTGCACCCTACAATTATGGGTGCAGAAGTTAGTGTATGAAGACAACAGAAGTTAAATACTTGTTCTTAAATATCCACCATGGAAGTGCCTGCTTCTATCTTATAATCAAGCCCTAGAATGAAGAGCACACACTGACTTTGATCTTATTGTTGAGCTGGTTGAACAGAGAACAGTTATTACTAGGCAATCATCTGTACCATTTGGAAAAGGAAAAAGTTTACCACTGTATTCAGTCTTGCCCCTTACCTCCATCTTGTTATCTTACATTCTGTTCACCTTTCTGCTCCAGCTTCTTCACCAACCCTGCTTCCAGATCCTTGTTGCCCTCTAGTGCTATAGGTGTAGTCTGGTCTGGAAGAGAGGGGGAAAAGATAGTGAATGTTGTTTGACTCAGCCTTAAATGGTGAATGAATCTAGGAACTGGTTTTGGGATGGTGCAAAGGATCTGTTGCCTCCTTCTCCACTTCCAGAGCCAGTTTTCCAACTTATTTCTGTTACTCAGTAGTATAGTTCTGCTAGAACATAACAGGCTGAGAGCAAGGTATGATACATTTTGTGTTATTTCTATAGCACCATCATTGTAGGTAGCCTGAGGGAGAAACTGAAGCTGATCTGTGAAATGATTGAGGTGAGATTGTAATGGCTAGGTGTACCCTTCCCCACATTTTCACTAATCTTTTTTTATTCTGAAGCTAAAGAAGCCAAATAATGTACTATTTTAATTCAGTTAGTATCTTGATTGTTTGGTTTTGACTTATATCCCACCCTCCCCTGCAAGCGGGCTCAGGGTGGGTCACAGCATTTCAATCACATCCTGTATATATAAAAGCCCAGCGTATTGCACTTTCCAGCTCTCCCATTGGCTGGGTACTGGGTCTGTTCCTCTCCCCCACCCACTGCCAGCCTGGATACTCTTCCCAAACAGAATAAACTGCCAAAACGGCTGTCTCTCCTGACAAAGCCGCTTCTACTTGGCTCCTCTGTGGCTGGCTAGCTACTGAGGTGGGCCACCAGCAGTCCAAACCATTCTCTTCTCCTCCTGCTGTGGGGCTAACTTCTCTCAGTGGCTGTTGCTAGGCAACCAAGCTTGGCTCTGTCAGTAAAAAGACAATGGCAGGAGGCCCTTTCCAGGCCTACTTTGGCCTTTGTGGGGAACTCATTGGGGCCGGTCCTGACTAGGGTTGCCAGCCCCATGTTGGGAAATTCCTAGATATTTTGTGGTGTATCCTAACGAAGCCAGAGTTTGGGAAGGGGAGAGGCCTCAGCTAAACAGAATGCCATAGAGTCCACCCTCCAAAGCAGTTATTTTCTCCTGGGGAACCAATCCCCAGGTGAGGGCTGGAGATCACTCAGAATTAAAACTGCTCTTCAGATGGCAGAGATCAGTTCCCCTGGACCTGGAGAAAACGGTTGCTTTGAAGGGTGGACTCTGTGTCATTGTACTCTGCTGGGGTCACTTCCCTCCTGCTTGGGTCCCCACTGCGGAGAAAGACTATAATAATTTTCCTAGGTAGAGGCTGCAGGTGGGGGGGGAGATGGAAAGCTGAAGTCAGAGGGGCAGATAAAGGTAGGTTGATTGTTGGCTGGGAAGGAGATATGGTTGCCAACTTCAGGTTGGGAAATTCTTGGAGATTTATGGGGTGGGGCCTGGAGAGGGTGGGGTTTGAGGAGGGGTGGGACCTCAGACAGGTACAAAGCCATAGACGCCACCCTCCAAACCAGCCATTTTCTCCTGGGGATCCATTGCTTCCAGTCTCCAGGTGAGGGCTGGAGATCACTCAGAATTACAATTGCTCTTCAGATAGCAAAGATCAGTTCCCCTGGAGAAAATGGTGGACTCTGTGTCATTATACCCTGTTGAGGTTGCCACGGCAAATTGATGCTGAGTGCCCAAGACCAGGGCACCTGTCCAGAGCCTCTTTCTAGAGTTCATTGTATTTATTTCCACAACAGTCGTTGTTCCTAGTAATAACAGTACAACAAGAGTTTAAATAGAACAAACAAATCTTAACTGTTCCAAATGAATTAATCTTACACTTTGTGTTAGATATTCTAGGTATTCTGTAGGTGACGTTCCATTGTTTTAAAGTAAGTTGGGAAAATCAGAATGATCTTGTGCGGAAGTAATAACAAAAAACTATTTCTATTGCATGCATAGGAAATTAAAAACTTAAAGTTTTCACTTGATTTCCTTCTAGGCATATGTTTTTCTTGCACATAGAGGAGGATCTTCTAGCTGGCAATCTTCAGTGTTCCTCTGAGCATGCAATTGAACTTAGTGCACTACTTGCCCAGTTGAAGTTTGGGGACTATAATCAAAATACTGCCAAATATCACTACGAAGAGTTCTGTGCGAAGGAGCTTACTACTGCTGTTTTGGAAAGGTAAGAGGGCTTGCTGTGGAGAACCAGTGTGTGAAATGTTTGCTCATGTATGTATCAGTGGCTGATTCTGCAACTGGAAATCAGCCTTTCACATTTGCAGACTCACTATCACACATGATATTAGTACAGTATCTTTAATACTAAGGATTTATTAATATGCATCTTCAAAATTACCAACTGAAATGTTTTTCTCTTGAAGCTGGTTTTTACACATTACTGTGATAGAGAATACATTATTTTAATTGTTCAAAATACCATATGGGAGTGAGAGGTCACTTTACAGCTCTGTAAATTGCATTCATAATCCTGATGTTAAGGATAAAATCAGCTTTCAAACAATTGAATATTTCAATTCGTTTGGCAGCCTATTACATTTTACTTTTCAGTCCTAAATAATGCATACAGCTTTCGAACTATTTATGTATTAAAATTAGGACATGGATTTATTGATCTATTTGCTACTTTTAAAAGCTCAAATTAATAAAATATAAGCATAAAGTAAATTAGGATAGGTCAACTTTAGAAAACAAAATGCATCTTGGCTCATAAGTCTGAATGACTAACCTGCTCTCCCATCTCTTGCTGTCCATAGTATTACGGCAAAACATAAAGAACTTGAAGGCCTCAGCCAGGCTTCAGCAGAGTATCAAGTTTTACAGCTTGTATCAACACTGGAAAACTATGGGGTTGAGTGGCACTCTGTAAGAGACAGCGAAGGGCAAAAACTCTTTATTGGTGTTGGTCCTGAGGGCATCTCCATATGTAAAGATGACTTAATTCCTGTTAACAGGTAAGTGTCAAAGGTTATGGGGTACTCACCTGTTTTTAGTTTCAGCAATGAACATATTGTGGAACATTCAGATTGCTTTTTCTTTTTTAAAAAAAATCACACTTGAATGCTAAGTCACTGAATAGCTGCAGCTATATAGAGTGTTGGTTAGGACTTGAGAGATTTCAGGATTTAGTTTTTTTCCCTGCCCATTCCCCCCCCCCTCAAAAAAAAACCCCACAAAACCACTATTTGGACTTGGATCAAGCTCTGTAATAAAAAAGTAGTTCACTGGTGTTTTGATCTTTCCCCCCTTGACCATAAATGGACCAAAATGGTTACAGACAACCAGATTTATTTTAGCTCATTGACTTTTCCCAGTATTGCATAGGTCCCAGAGTAGGGTCATTAGGCACAGGATACACAGGCGTCCCCAATCTTGTTGATCCTTTCAGCACTTTTGGAATTTTGAGAACAAGGATGCAGGCACCATCTTAAAATGGGGGTTGGGATCAGTTACAAAATGGCTGCCATAGGGGATTGGGGCCAGTCAAGCTAGTCACCCTTCGATGGAATCAGCTCGTTCTGAATAGGTGCTCGCTAGAGTTGTAAAAAAATTCTGGAAATGTTGAAGCCATGTAGAAAAACCATTTTGGGTGTGTGGTGATGCTGAAATTTTGAAGAAAACACAGGGATACAATATTTACTCTCCTATCAAACCTAAACTTCTTTTACTGATTTAACCACTTATAACTTGGATAGCATATAAAATTATACTATTTGGTAGCATATTTGTGGAATTTAAAAGTATAAATATTTTCATTTCATAGTTGTTGTTTTTCTTTTACTGTTTAAACTTTCAATTTTTTCCATTGGAAAGCTTTCTCCCCCTGCTTCTCCCCCCCCTTCCCCCCCCAGTAGTATTCCCTGCAGACACAGAGGTAATCCCTCCTGGGTTCTTAAGCACCACCTGCTCCATTAAGTAGGATGAAAGCCAGGAATGGGGAAGAGATGGTTGTGGGAAGAAGCAAGTGGGTGCCAAGCAACACATCAGTAGGCCCATGAATGCCACGTTACAGATCACTGCAATACACACCAGCCTTGCTGAAGCTAAGCAAGTCTGGGTTAGTGCCCACATGCGAGATTCCCTGGGCTCCTTGAGCTGCGTCATGTAAGAAAGGAGAGATACGGGCTTTGCGGCATTCACGATTTTCACATTGGCTTCCATTTTGCAATGCATTCTTTATATCGCTAGTGGGTTTAGTAAAGCATTTTCAGGTATCTGTACAGATCCTGTCCACTTAACATCCTGCTTTCCTTCTAGGATTGCATATCCAGTTGTTCAGATGGCAACACAGTCTGGAAAGAATGTGTACTTGACTGTCACAAAGGAGTCTGGCAATAGTATAGTCCACCTTTTCAAGATGATCAGCACCAGAGCAGCTAGTGGACTGTACAGAGCAATAACTGAAACTCATGCATTTTACAGGTTTGTTTTGCTAAACTTAAGTTTATGGTTTAAGTATCACATATTCATGCCTTAAGAACACAAGAGAAGCCAATGTTGGATCAGGTCAATGGCCCATCCAGTCCAACACTATCACACAGTGGCCAAAAATACCAGGTGCCGTCAGGAGGTCCAGCAAGTGGGGCCAGGACACTAGAAGTCCTCCTACTGTTGCCCCCCCCCCCAAAAGCACCAAGAATACAGAGCATCACTTGCCCCAGACTGAGAGGTCCTATCTGTACCTTGTGGCTAATAGCCACTGATGGACCTCTGCTCTGTATGTTTATCTAATTCCCTCTTGAAGCCGTCCATGCTTGTAGCCGCCACTACCTCCTGTGGCAGTGAATTCCATGTGTTAATCACTCTTTGGGTGAAGAAGTCCTTTTATCTGTTCTAACCCAACTGCTCAGCAATTTCATTGAGTGCCCATGAGTTCTTGTATTGTGAGAAAGGGAGAAAAGTACTTCTTTCTCAACTTGCTCTATCCCATGCATAATCTTATAAACCTCGATCATGTCACCCCATAGCCGTCGTTTCTCCAAGCTAAAGAGCCCCAAGCGTTTTAGCCCTTCTTCATAGGGAAAGTGTTCCAACCCTTTCATCATTCTAGTTGCCCTTTTCTGCACTTTTTCCAGTGCTATAATATCCTTTTTGAGGTGTGGTGACCAGAACTGCACACAGTACTTACTTTCATACACTGAATTTAGAGATTTGAGATTCCTCCGGTGTCACCTCTGTATAACCATGAATGGAGTATTGCAAAGTACATGCTAGTTTTATTCTTTTCAGAAGCTCTCACCATAGATTTTCATCTTCTTCCTTGGGAAGATGGTTTCTGTTTTGGGTGAGAAAAATGCTGATGGATGTCTCTTGTACCAGCAGAGTATATAACATTAACACTACTTGAAATAGTGTTAGTGCAGTTTTTTTTTATTTGTGTGTGTGTGTGTGTGTTTTGTATGCTTTCCTGGAAGTCATGGTGACTTCTGGTGACCCCTACTGGGGGCTTGGACGTTTTTAGAGAGGTGTCTTGAGTAGCCTGCCTCTGCGTCCTGCCTCTGGTATTCCTTGGAGGTCACCCTTCCCAGTACTTGCCAGAGTTGGCCCTGCTTAGCTGACGAGATCGGGCTTGCCTGGGCTAGCCAGGACAGGGTGCATCAGTGTAGTTTTTAATACAAATCAGAATCATAAAGGCTGTTAAAGTGAAACTAAACTGCTAACAAGCATCAGTGTGAAAGAATTACTTTTTGACCATTTTTGACCATTTATGGGTTTTTTAGAATGGTCTTCAACTTTAATTGCAATTATGATTTGGATGTTCTGCGACTAAACATTCTGCAACCATTTCAATGAGTGTTCCATATTAACTGGGCCTGCAACTTTCCCTTTATAGGTGCGACACTGTTACCAGCGCTGTCATGATGCAGTACAGTCGAGACCTAAAAGGCCACTTAGCATCCTTGTTCCTGAACGAAAACATTAATCTTGGCAAGAAATACGTGTTTGATATTAAGCGAACATCAAAGGAGGCTTATGATCATGCAAGACGAGCTCTTTACAATGCTGGCATTGTGGATCTTGTTTCAAGAAGTGACCAGAGTCCACCCAGTTCCCCCCTTAAGACTTCAGAAAGCAGTATGAACTGTGACACCTGTGAAGGTCTCAGCTGCCAACAGACAAAGACTCTTCAGGAGAAGTTACGGAAGCTTAAAGAATCCTTGTTGTGTATGGTGTGTTGTGAAGAAGAAATAAATTCTACTTTTTGTCCGTGTGGCCACACTGTATGCTGTGAGTCGTGTGCGGCACAGTTACAGGTAACTATAAAGCCACTTGTTAAAACATAGCATGTTTACATTACTACCTTTCAAAATAGTCCAGAAGCAAATTCTCAGAAACCACTGACAGAATAATAGAGCAGCACCAGGGATGTGTAACAAAAAATTGTGTTTCCTATGGGCGGCTGACCACTGTGTCTGGTAACACGAGCTGGATCATACCTAGTTATGGTGACAGGAAGTTTTAAGTAAAATTGCTGAAGCTTTTTACTCAGGCTTGAGATTCTTTGGCGCTTTTATTTGTTTTAACTGCCCTGTGATACAAGATTTGATTTTGTGGCATGCCTAAATTTTTTTAAAAAACCAAAGGGATACTTCTGCCTCCACAGGGGTCACGTGAACCCCACCTTATATTTTCAAAGATGACAGTGAAAGTGCTTATTTGTTCCAAAATGAAAACGTTTTTATATAAAAAAAGTAGTGTTTACTTATGTAATTATTATTTAAAAATTAAGCCCTATTTTTGAGTACTGGTACTCAGTACTAATTATTGTATTTCTGATGACATAAACTAATTATATGAACTATTGACTCTATATTAGACAGTTGTTGAATCAAAGAAATGTTCAAATTTCTGTTTTCTCTCCCTCTAGTCTTGTCCAGTTTGCAGATCTCAAGTAGAACATGTTCAGCATGTCTATCTGCCTACCCATACCAGTTTGCTTAATCTGACGGTAATATGATCTTTGCGTCATCACTGATAGATACCATATAAGCTTCTGAGTCATCTCGAACTTCCAAGTCATCTTGTACTATGTTCACTCCAGCCATTGATGGTGAAGGAGAGCATCTGCCAGCAACAACAGTCAGAATGGCCACTATAAAACTGTTTTTGATTGGAGTTGGGGGGGACGGGACCGTTCTGAGTGTTAGAGAACATGTTCAGGACATACTGTGAATGATGTGTGGCCAACCTCATGTCACCCAGATTTATTTTTTTTACAGAAAATGGGAATTTTTTTAAAAAAAGAGAATGAGAGGTGGAAAGTTATGTGTAATATCCATCAAGGGCCATTCAGCTTGTTTTATGCATTTTATAAAGATTGTTTTAAAGTTACTTCACTTTGCATGATCACTCCATTTATCTTTTAGTGAAACTAGTTTTAATAACTACATTTGCTTTATATTGTTTAGGTTCTGCTCTTAGTGTTACCAAAATAAGAAACCATTTTATTTTCAGATCAGTGAACTAAGAACCTAAGATTGCAAAGCTTTAAGCAAATGGTTATATATTTTGTTTCATCAAAAATAAGACTAGATGACTCCCAAAATTACCATCAAATTTTGAGTAAGCTTGGCAGCCCAGTGGACGTCTTTTGTGAAACTGTTGAAGGGACAGTCTATGTACATTTGAAAAAGTGGAGCATTTAACGTCTGTATAAAATTTTCACTTGCAAGAGTCCACTTGTGCTTTTTTTGTTGTCTGCCTTTTTGGGGGGAGATACTTTAATCCTAAAACAGTATAATCTTAATAGGGTTTTCTATAATGCAGTTGTGTTTTAAATTATTCTTTCTAAAAACCGTCTTACCTTCTGCCGTATACCCTCTCTGTGGGCATTTTGGACTTTGGTCAACTAGTGAATACTCCAGAACATTGAAAACTAGATGACCATATGTGGGTGCAATACTAGCTCAAATAAAGGCTAGACAAGTCACTTTACTGAGACTTCCTAAATATACTTTTCATATTGCCTTAATGTAGCAGTAATGTGTGTATGCATTTGTTTCTTTGCACAGACATTTTGTCAAAATATTAAAGCTCTACTTTTTTATGGCACATTAGCATATAAACCTTACTTCAAGAGGTATTTATTTTTTCACTTTGTAAAAAAAAATGTTTCCACATGAAGCAAGATCTGTCCTATATGGTAGACAACTTTTGTCTTTTTTTATATTCAGGTTAATAAAGGACTTTCAATAGAAACTGGCAGCATTTCTTTATTTACATGTTCATATGTTTAGTAACATTTTAGTTCTTTGTGTGCTAAGGGCCTGAGGTTGAAGTGATAAATTGGGGAAGCATTTGTTCTAGAAAGCAAGCTTTATTCCCTGTGTGAGAAATGCAACCTTTACGGCCAGCTCCAGAGCTGGGGTAGACACACGGGGCTTCTGGCTGAACACATCTTCATTGATGACCAAAAAGAAAAGAAAAAATCCATGTCACATCTTTTTTATTGGGGCTAATCAAAATAACACAAAACATGGTGCAAGCTTTCAAGTCCACCTAAAGCCTTCACCAGGCAGATGTTACAGTTCAGGGGGGGGTGAACTCTAGTGCCAACTCTAATGGTGGTAGATGTTGGTAGGCACACAAACTTGCTTAATGGCTGGAGGTTTCAGACTCCCAGCACTTGCATTCAGTGAAGAAGTAAACAGTGGAGGCACATCTCAGTTAACGCAAATGAAGTCCCGCTAGATCCAAATGTCACTCAACAATCCCTTTGAGGTACACAATTCTTGTGGCAGCCATAAGCAGAAGGAAGTACATGTTGATCTCCATTTTAAACATGTGTGAGGTACCGCCATTTACAACCTATGTGCTCTGGCTATGTCTTTCCTACTGATCGTAAGTTACAAGAAGCTCCACAGATGGTGATTTTGCCCTCTTTGATCTACGATTGCATTGGTCGAAGGCCAAAAATCTTGAGTAAACTACTGAATGCTAGGTATATTTCTATTAGCCCCTTAGAGTGACTTGAATCAAAGGTTACATAGTACATGAACTCCAACCTTGTGTGACTGTTTTTTTTAGTGTTCTACCCTCTATAAAGCATGAGAACTATTTACAAAACTGGTATGTTTAGTACCAATTTAATGTGGAAGATCATCTTAATTCTTCAAGCGGCCCTAAATTTCAGAGCAAAGTTTGAGTCCCGTGGTACCATTGAGAGACCAGACCCAGACCAGAACTCTGTTGGTCTTAAAGGTGCCACTGGACTCAAACTTTGCCTCTTTAGACCGACACAGCTACCGACCTGAATCTAAATTTTAGAGAAATTGTATTGAAATATGGCTATACTATATGAGATTTAAACATTTCAGATGAAGATGTGCAAACTTTTTCCCTAAAAAAACTAACGTTTAATCTTAAAGTTTCTTATGCCCCGCTTTTCTCCCCAGGGGGGGACCTAAGGTAGCTTACACCATTCTCTTCTCTATTCTGTCCTCAAAACAAACAGTTTTTGACTCTGTTACCTTGCTGGCTCTTATAGACTTGTGGCAAAAACACTGAAGATTCACTTATAAACAATGTGACCCAAATAAAGACTTATTACAAATTCATATGTTATTAGATCTATATAAACATCAAGAATCATATACTAGAACAAAAACTTCCTAAGTGCACTTTAAACACCCACAACACCACGTCAGAGAACTAAACACATCAATTACAAAGCTAAATCCAAATCATAAAGGTTACTCAATTCAACAGGTAAGTCTTCTGAAAAAATAGTTGCACACAAAAGCTTATACCTTGAATTAAACTTCTTTGGTCTTAAAGGTACCCCTGGACTCAAACTTTGTTCTTGAAAATCTTGTTCATCTTTACGGTGCTACTGGACTCCTTTTGCACAAGCAAGCGGGAGGACTGCAGGGGTGTTAAGTGTGCAAATGGTTGGTCTGGAGGGTCTGACTTGTGGGTTGTGGGCAATGCTCCTCCTAAGCTGTGGAGTCTTGTGAGCAAAAATTCTAGTTTGTGAGCTACTGGCATTAATGTTTTGAGTGAGGAATTTGGCTACTGAGTTTGCTCTGGAGCCATTTAAGAGAAAAATGTGTGAGCCGGCGGTTTAAAAACGGAGCTAGCTCATACCAACCCAGCTTAGAGGGAACATTGGTTGTGAGTGAACATATATAGGGTCAACATCCCATTCCACTTGAATGCTGCCAGCTACAATTGGAGTAAGGGGGCTGGCTCTTCCTCTGCAGTCTCCTCGGTCCCCCCCGCTTGTGGGGACCTTCACGGTGGGGGGGGGGGAGTAAATGTTCAAATGGGTAGTTTCACAGTGCACATATCAGAGACTACCATTCCTACAATTCCATTATTGGGAGAACTCCAGCTTTGCATGCAAGGTGAAGAGTGTGGAGTACCTACAATCAGAGCACCAAGCTGAGTCTGCACCCTGTCTCAAAGGTGGCTGTGAGGCCTGAATGTCACCTAAAGTGGAATTCAGTGCAAAATATTTTCTGCCAAATTATAATGCTTGTATTTGCCAAAATGTATAATGTGATGTTACATCATAGAAAAGGATAGGTTGGCAACAAATCTACACTAATGATGGGGGCAAAAGAGCTGCATAGGCAGTAGTCCTGTGCTGTCTATATACATTCCACAGACTCCTTCCAGCTCTCTCACCGACATCGTAGATCAGGAGTGTCAAACATGCGGCCCGGGGGCCAGATCAGGCCTGCAGTGGAACTGGCTGTCTTCTGCTTCTTCCAGTTCTGCTGCTGCTGCATCATCGTAGGTTTGAGGCTTACAGATACACACCTGAACGGCATACTCAAGATTGCAACAGCACAGACATTTTGATGCAATAATTCAGAGCAAGAGGTGTCGGTTATCAGACACTGTTAAATAAGCAAAATATTGCAAGAGTGCTAATGTTTTAAGCATGTCTTTATTTTAAGTTTAAAAAATCCTTTGTGAGACTTCCGGTGGGTGGATCGGTGATGGCGGTCACTCTCCTCGATGCCCAAGGAGGCAACACCCTTGGCTTGGAGGGGTGCCACCTCAAGTGGCACCCCCATGGAGCCCTTGTGAAGGGTTCCAGGCCAGGGGGCTCTTGAGGGTTAGCCTCTTCAACGGCTTGATGCCAGAGAATAGAGGCTTTCCTCCACCCCGATGGTCCAGCCGATGTGTGACCTTAGGGTACAAGCCAATCTAACCGGGACAAGCGCAGGAGATCAAGCGGAATTGCGTATGAAGAGAGCGGGGTCAAGATATGACCAACAATGAACGTGAGTTCGAAATAAACGGACTATTTTACTAAAATGGAGTAAACCCCCCCCCGTGGGAAAAGCGGTGCATAAGGAGGGACGCCTCCTAGGCGCATGAATGGACTAATGTGGGGAAGGGGGAAAATAAACAGCGAGTTTTCTTTGGAGAGACTTACTTGAGTACTGATAGTGAAACAACGAGTCTTTCGAGTCCTGACATAGCGGTTTGGAAGTATAAACAAAGTGGAATATGGCGGCTTCCCGAGGA